AAACTTCCTCTCAGCTCTGCAGGGTTTGACTCGTTCCCCTTCACTCGCAGGCCTCACTCTCCTCCTGACTGCTTGTGTTTTTTTTATCTGTTTAAAACAACTCACAACGTTCTGAGGTCAGCACAAAGTTTGGGTTTTAAGAAAGACAGGACTTTGCAAGCAGAGTTGCAGACTGAGCTCCAGTGCAGAACAACTCCTGGTCTGTATTTAAAATAAAGTGTCTAACTGCAGGCAGCTGAAGGTCATTAAATGTATCTTTTGAATCAAAGTCGCCTGCAGGAGCCTGACATTCCACTGACATGGATGTGTTCAGGAGACACCTGTGAGGATCTTTACCTGAGAGGTGTGGTGAGGCAGCTGGTGGTTCTCTGAGTGTGGGGGGTCTCTGTCGTCTGGTCTCTGCTGCAGGCAGCTCTGAATCAGGACAGAGAGCGAGGCGACGACACATCTATTCAAATCTACGAGGAAGGAAGTGACACGCAACTTCAGAAACAGGAATCAAAGATCTTTTGTCTTTATAAGGCAATGCACGCTGACAGCTAAGGTGAGCTTCCACACCCACTCTGAGGGCTTTCAGGGACATGGTCTCCAGTTCTCTCAGGACTGCTGTGGGGGGCCATAAAGTTTACACAAAGAAAAAAATCTCAACCCAACCAGGGCAGATACAATAAATGTTACTGAAACATTAAGTTTATATGATGACAAACTGAGCTGAAAATAAATCATTTCAAAACCTCTTCATCTTTTATAAAACTTAATTTTTGTGCATATCAAACAAAAACTGACAAGTGTTGAAGAGGAAGAAATATAACAATCAAAAGGTGAGTAAATCTGACAGCCTGAAATTAAAACTTTCTGATTTCAAACCAAAACAAGAGTCCATCAGCAGCAAACCTGGACCTGCTCAGATTAACCCTCGTGAAAGAGTTCCAGGCCCTTTTCAGGTCCTTCAAAAACTCAGGTCCTCCACAGTCTCAGGTCCTTCACAGTCTCAGGTCCTTCCCAACCTCAGGTCCTCCACAGTCTCAGGTCCTTCACAACCTCAGGTCCTCCACATTCTCAGGTCCTTCACAACCTCAGGTCCTCCACAGTCTCAGGTCCTTCACAACCTCAGGTCCTTCACAACCTCAGGTCCTCCACAGTCTCAGGTCCTCCACAGTCTCAGGTCCTCCACAGTCTCAGGTCCTCCACAGTCTCAGGTCCTTCACAACCTCAGGTCCTCCACAGTCTCAGGTCCTTCACAACCTCAGGTCCTTCACAACCTCAGGTCCTCCACAGTCTCAGGTCCTCCACAGTCTCAGGTCCTCCACAGTCTCAGGTCCTTCACAGTCTCAGGTCCTTCACAACCTCAGGTCCTCCACAGTCTCAGGTCCTCCTCCACGGTAAGGGAGGTGTAACAGAGACCGCTTAAACACTTCTGTCACAAAAATAATCCATACTTCATGACTTGAATCAACTACAGTCAGTCAATAATCTGCTCCTCCACTGAGCCACTCTGAACCCACTCAAAGACTTCCTGTTAGTCAAATTTAAAGTTCCAGCTCAGTGAATTAAACACAAAATTACATTTAAGACACATTTTTGTGCATGAAACTGTGCAACATTACTCAAACTCTTGGTATAAGGAAACATGAAATATTTGGTAAATGCAGGTGACGCCACAAAAGACAAAACATTAATCAAGAATGTTCTCATGGAACAACAAACGTGAAGCTTTCTTTAGTATATTTAAATGTAAAACTGAGAGAGGTTTATTGTTTCCAATAAGAGCACTGATGACTCAATTACCATGAAGCTGATCTGCTGCAGTGTTCATCAGAAATCCCACTTCAATTAAAAGTCAGAAAAAAAGATATATATCTGACAGACACGATCAGTGTTGCCAGGTGTACGATAATTATCGTATTTGTACGATAATTTTGCCCTCTGTACGATGTACGATCAATAATCCCAAAAAAAAAAAAAAACCCACATTATACGATAATTTGATCGCTCCTATGTGTGATGTAATCGACCTGACACGCTGCTCGCCGACATGAGAGGTGACGGGTTGTGGAACACAGCGGTGCTGATTTAGCGACTTTCTCGCTATATTTACAGACTTTTCAGACCCTCTAGAGACTGTTATTCAGAAAAGTGACTAGTGAAAATCTAGCGACTCTTTTTCTGGTGTTATTCTCCATTGTGCTGCTGAGAGCTCCTCCCTGGTCCCAGAGCACAGACAGGAGGCTTCTTCACGCTGCGTCTCTCTTCCTGCCGCAGGTAGATATCCATCCCATCCAGACATGAAATGAATACTGCTGCTGCTGACTGATCCATGATGGGATGTTAATAAAAACATTTCTATGGTTAAAAATAGATCCCTTTGCCGGTCCCTAGCCAATAGAAAGGAGGGTTAGAGCTGTGACAGTTATATATATATATATATA